TTATAATTGTTATAATTTAAGCATCTTCAAAGAACTGTAAGTCCATTGTGATCTTACTTAACAAATCGATAATATTTAAAAAGCACATCAATAATGTTAGTGAAGACTATTCTAGAATATTCTATGTACATAAATATATAGGTATATATAATTGTAGAGTCAGAAGAGGGAATTCTCGCGAAGAATATTCTTCGCTCAATTTATTGTTATTATTTGATATTTGATAACTGTTCACATATGCAGATGACCTGACTGTTTCGCTTCCCGTTAAGTCTCAGTCAGACTGTTCTAAATTAAATAGCTTCCTGTCGGACATCAGTCAGTGTGGTCAAAACTAAATGGCCTTATTCTGAATCCCTCAAAATGCCAGACTATTGACTTCACCTTTAGGCATAAACGAGATCTACAAACACTAGTAAGTACTCGTGAAGCCTGTAGCATTCAGGGGACTAAAACTGAAAGTAAGTGTTATAACTGCACTGAATTAAAGTAAAACCCCGTCGCCAATTTGTTATAACTGTAGGGAATTGAATGAAGACGTTTTCACCTTATTCTGTCTGCGCCTGAACTAATCTGTCTATCTGCTCGTCGTACCTTCCGACTTAGTAAAGCACGCAAATATCAAAAGACAAAGGCTGGACTGTGACTGTTTATTGAAGTGCAACAACGATAAAGAAAGCCATGGTATTTATACATTTTACAACAATATGGACAGCTAACAGCATTTGAAATAATTGACCTTAATAGCCAATAACAAAGTGTGTGAGAAATGATAATATGCCATATGTGCGACACTGACAGTCAGTAACAAAATGTGTGGGAATGATAATATGCCATATATATAAAATTAGCAGTCACTAACAAAATGTGTGAGAATGATAATATACAAAATTAGCAGTCAATACCAAAATGCGTGAGAATGATAACATACCATATATGCAAGTTTAAACAGTCAATACCAAAATATGTGGGATCCTATCAGTAAGTCTAATGCAAAATACCTCGGTCTAGTTCTATCTTCCAAACTTACTTGAACATCTCATATCCAAACGATTTCCTAAAAAGTGTTCCGTCTAACCTACTACATTAAGAAACTTAGACTATCTGGAATCACTTAACCTCTACTTTCACAATTTGTCAACTCTCGTATCTTACCTATTCTACTTTACCACTCCCCATTAGTCTCTCCTGGGTTACTGAAAAAGGACTATACCATCCTGAGAAAGATATTGAAGGTAGTTAGTAGGACTTGTGGTGTAAAACTCAATCAGCTCGTCACTACATTAGTAGAAAGGCATGTGAATACATGCGAAAAATGGTCTAAAACCATACTGTCTGACCCCTAACACCCCCTCTATTCCCATTTCTCTCCTTGTATCTCATCAGGTAGAACCAGAAATTGGTACAAAATAATATATCCTCGTACAACTAAGTATAGGAACTCAAAGATACCATATTTGGCCCGTGTTCTAAATGATAGAGACAATGTTAAGCGCGATACCTATGACTTGCTTTGTTGTTAATAACATAATTTTGGCCCTTTTATTTCTCCCTTATACTCTATTATTTGTATTATATAGTGAACACCTTCTTAAACATACTTAGCTACCTAAAATTATTATCGATGGCTTACTTTTTTTGTACTATATACTATTCGTTCTTTTGTGTATCTACTGGTCCCGACTATATTATCACTATGAGTATTACAAAATTGTCCTGTCATTAACCATCATGTAATATTAGTTTTGTGATTGCTTTTTGTTCGGCAATATTAAACTGACAATCTTGGTTGTGAACGCCATTATCACCATCTTAAAAATGTTGTATTATGCAGGATCACTCACACTACCACTACAAACACCGCATTAGAGCTGACAATAAAAATGTTATTTTAATGTTATTTTATGACTGTTTAGTGTTTTTCAATCAAATTAACTGATCATCTTGGCTATAAACATTCTTTGTAATAAATAGTGTGTTCTCTGAGCTCGTTGGCTTAGTTGCGGAGCTTTCGTCGTCTTTCTGGGTGACATCTTCAGCGCAGTATTTAGGATAAACATTCCTAATTACATGTCATAACTTCTTGTATGATTATAGCTGTTACTGTTCATCACGCATAGCTTCCACTACTCAATACTGAGATATTATTTATTATTATTGTTTATTTTCCTTTCTACTTGGTGTTTTTGCATTTTCTTTTTTGTTATTTTTGGGTTTTTTTGGTTTTTTTTAATATTTATTTTTTGAAATACTCCTTAGATACAATATTGTAGATATGTGCTGAAAATTCCACACTGTACCACTAGTACTGTTTCTGGAATAAGGCAAATTATTATTATTATTAGTGTGTTGAGAGCTGACTGTTAGCTAAAATTGGTGGACAGTAATTTACGTCAATGTTTATGTCTCCAATATTGGTCGTGAGAAAAATGAGCACAAAGGCTTTGTGTAGCTGATACAGTTAAAATATAGATGATCTGACATTCAATAAACAGTCACAAAGAGATAAAAGATTAAAGTGCAGTGAGAAGCCACCAATCAGAAGATTGTATTTGTTTGTTTAAACAATCTATAATAATGTACATAAAAATCTATGAATATGTGTTGATTTCCTTAATAAATGATCTGTTGCCTGGCCCTTGTCTTCTGTTGTTACAATAGTACTGCTAACTTTACACCACACTATCGTTATCATTTCACCATCATTGATATGATTGTCTCAAATTTGGTCACAGACTGATATCAGTTTAAGAACCATTGAAAACAATCAGAGTGTACTGGACGACTGTTTTTTTCTGTTCCGAGGCTAATCGTCAATGAGCATTAACAGTTAGGATTGGTACCCAGGACCTTCTGGTTACAAGGCAAGCTTATAGACCATGGATTTATGTCTAGTCTGTCCAATTTGTTGGCTTAATCTTCTGTGGTACTGTCATATTGTCTGTCTTATACACCAATGATTGTACTCACCCTCGAAACATGTACTTTTGTTGACTGTATAACATACTCATGCACACACACATCACTGAATGAATTCACTTCGCTTTATCTAATATTCTTGCTGACCACTGTATACTGTAAATGACAGTCTAAACTAACTGAGTATTGCTCCATTCAAACCTAAAAAACTCACTCAGATAGGACAAGCTCTGTAGGCTAAAAGACCCGGTGGATCCAATTAAACAAAATAATATAATTTACAAAATACCCTACAATGACTGTGGATGAAGTTAACTACATAGGTCAAACTAGTAGATAGAAGATGAGTAGTTAGATTGTCAGAACAGAAGAATTTGGCTAAGGTTAGCATGGTTGACCCAGAGGAGATAAGTAATTTAGAAAAAACAACGCTTCGCACTATATTGCACTGCATGCATTAACACACAACCACACAATAGGGTGGTGAGATAGGGTTAAAATTCTTTAAAGTAATCTAGGTAGGTGACGAGAGAGAGGTTGATTACTGAATCCTGGTTCATCGAGTGAATCTACACACCCAACATATGCAACAGAAATCACTCAATGCAAATACCAGAAATATGGAAGATATTATTACCACCAGTCAGTTAACTCATTCTAAGACGTAACTTATTATGACTATGAAGGAAACACTCATCTTATTTCCCATCTGAATGTATTCGATTGATAACACTCATTTTATTATTTCTGAATATACATTATCTCATATATTGATTTTTATTCAAATGTCTAATCATCAACTTCACTCATGTATATGAATGAAGTAAAACATTGTGTGAGTGCCTCGATATGATTATGAGCGCAGTAATAATTTGTGCTCGAAACGTGGTTGCATCAGTTAATATTACTGTATAACACTACACTGTGTGATTTATCAAAATTAAAATCTTATCTATAATGGAGTTATACTCTACCATTACAGTGCTCAAGTTTTATACTTATATCAATAATTTTAATTCACCTTTACTAGCAATATTATTTGCTAAAATTAACCGATTTGTAATTGTAAAGCTTGAGAAAGGAAGCCAGAATTGATTGAAAGCGACAATTTGTTCGCTCTAATTATTTTTGTTCGAAATAATGATATTAATAATAATAATAATAATAATAATAATAATAATAGTGATAATAATAAAATAAATATTCATCATATATAGATATTGGAAACAAAATAAATCGAAAAATAAGGACTAGTAGAGTGTGAAGTAGTTATATGCATCACTTATTCTTGTTATTGCCTGACAAAATGGTTCAGTTTCATTGTTAAATAACTCGAGATGAACATCCACTGTCCCCAGTGAAAGCCTTATCTGACCTAGATTATGTTTTGCGTGATCAATTATTATAATACTATCTGAAAAACTGTCATACATTAATCACTCTTCATGTCCTATAAACGATTATTAGTAATAATAATATGCTCTATATGAGTATCTTCCGTCCACCACCCCTCCTCCTTTTATTGCAATACTAAAAGCATTGGAGAATTACTTCAGGTTCACTTTTAGTATGAGCTTATAGGAGACTTCTCTGTCTGCCTCATTAGATAGAATTATTTCATGTATAATACACAGGGAATGGTAAACTGTATTATTAACTAGATGTTGAGCTTTCGATCACAACTTTATTCTTGCTCATAATCAATATCATCAGTGTATTTGCACAACTTCATCGTCAGCCTCAGTTTCTATTTTTTTTTACACTTTGTTAATTCTTGCATTCTACCTATTCTTCTTTTTGCTGATTCTTTTGCATCGACCCAAATTTCTTAACAAAATGCCACACTGGCCTCTATAGTGCTGTATTTGTATTTCCCTTTCCCACACGTATGACGTTGAAGCCCTATTGGTTGTCAACTGTTTTAACTGATCCCAAAGAAGTAGACGTATAGAGCTTCTCAAAAGAATTCAATGCTGCTGCTGAGTTGGTAATCATCTGGGATCCTGTGGTGAAGAGGATAGTGCTGACTATGCTATCAAGAGGTCGGGCAAACGCAGAGTACAACAGTGTGGAGCAGGCAGATGATATGCAATCCATCATCTACTTTTCGTTTGATTTTACTGTCTAGTATTGTCAACTCACTTTGTTTATTTCCTAACTCAGAAGTGAACTGCATTACGTCTACTACTACTACTACTACTACTACTACTACTACTACTACTACTACTACTACTACTACTACTACTACTACTACTACTACTACTACTACTACTACTACTACTACTACTACTACTACTACTACTACTACTACTACTACTACTACTACTACTACTACTACTACTACTACTACTACTACTACTACTACTACTACTACTACTACTACTACTACTACTACTACTACTACTACTACTACTACTACTACTACTACTACTACTACTACTACTACTACTACTACTACTACTACTACTACTACTACTACTACTACTACTACTACTACTACTACTACTACTACTACTACTACTACTACTACTACTACTACTACTACTACTACTACTACTACTACTACTACTACTACTACTACTACTACTACTACTACTACTACTACTACTACTACTACTACTACTACTACTACTACTACTACTACTACTACTACTACTACTACTACTACTACTACTACTACTACTACTACTACTACTACTACTACTACTACTACTACTACTACTACTACTACTACTACTACTACTACTACTACTACTACTACTACTACTACTACTACTACTACTACTACTACTACTACTACTACTACTACTACTACTACTACTACTACTACTACTACTACTACTACTACTACTACTACTACTACTACTACTACTACTACTACTACTACTACTACTACTACTACTACTACTACTACTACTACTACTACTACTACTACTACTACTACTACTACTACTACTACTACTACTACTACTACTACTACTACTACTACTACTACTACTACTACTACTACTACTACTACTACTACTACTACTACTACTACTACTACTACTACTACTACTACTACTACTACTACTACTACTACTACTACTACTACTACTACTACTACTACTACTACTACTACTACTACTACTACTACTACTACTACTACTACTACTACTACTACTACTACTACTACTACTACTACTACTACTACTACTACTACTACTACTACTACTACTACTACTACTACTACTACTACTACTACTACTACTACTACTACTACTACTACTACTACTACTACTACTACTACTACTACTACTACTACTACTACTACTACTACTACTACTACTACTACTACTACTACTACTACTACTACTACTACTACTACTACTACTACTACTACTACTACTACTACTACTACTACTACTACTACTACTACTACTACTACTACTACTACTACTACTACTACTACTACTACTACTACTACTACTACTACTACTACTACTACTACTACTACTACTACTACTACTACTACTACTACTACTACTACTACTACTACTACTACTACTACTACTACTACTACTACTACTACTACTACTACTACTACTACTACTACTACTACTACTACTACTACTACTACTACTACTACTACTACTACTACTACTACTACTACTACTACTACTACTACTACTACTACTACTACTACTACTACTACTACTACTACTACTACTACTACTACTACTACTACTACTACTACTACTACTACTACTACTACTACTACTACTACTACTACTACTACTACTACTACTACTACTACTACTACTACTACTACTACTACTACTACTACTACTACTACTACTACTACTACTACTACTACTACTACTACTACTACTACTACTACTACTACTACTACTACTACTACTACTACTACTACTACTACTACTACTACTACTACTACTACTACTACTACTACTACTACTACTACTACTACTACTACTACTACTACTACTACTACTACTACTACTACTACTACTACTACTACTACTACTACTACTACTACTACTACTACTACTACTACTACTACTACTACTACTACTACTACTACTACTACTACTACTACTACTACTACTACTACTACTACTACTACTACTACTACTCAGTTTATTATGTGTGAAGGACTTGTGGAGGAGTCTCTGTTGCAATTGACCTTGAATATTTATTCCTTTTATTTTATAAGAATGGTGTAGCAATGAAGTCACCATTTGAACTAATTCTAGCCAATACTATCCTGGAAAATTTGGCGATAACTTCATGCGTGTCATCACCGACAGTAGAGACGACTCTTTCTGGATAAGTAAGGAAAATGACCCCATTCCTATTTACCTTGTTGAAAGGGATTAGTGCTTGTTGTTGTTGGTTGGTCCGTTATCCTCAACACCTCCATCTTCTCTATGTTTTCAACTGAAGTCTTGTATTCGCTGCCTGACAGTTCTGACAGCTTGTTCAGTTTCGCCTGTAATTCGTCAAATTTCTGTAGCATTAGATCTACATTGTCTACAAAGTCTAGGCCAGGCTTCGATCATCATAACTACACCTTTATTTAGCACAAAACATTATTTTCCTAAAGCAACGTCTAATATATATATATATATATATATATATATGTCAGGCGGCAAAGATGCATTCGGACTGATAAATATACAGTAAGAAGTGGCTAGCCTAGGCACTTAGTCTTTCAGTTTTCAAATCGCAACCGGTGGTGTAGAATATATGAGCTGGGGTTTACGTGCATTTAAAGTTCTTTGAATCGATATTCTCTAATTTTCGGTTATTATTTCTCTTGGTATGTCACCTTCAAACTATGGTTTCTTATTAACAGCATTTTGACTATTGTTTCAGACAATGAAAACTCTCATGTGTAGGAGCTTCTGTCAAGATGCCCAATGAATGTTTATGCCTTATATTCAATAAGATATTCTACAAATAAATTGGTGGTGTAGGTATGGAGTCACTATTAGAATGAATTCTTGCTGATACCATCCTGATAGAATTACAGAGAATGAAATTTTGAAAAGAATTCTGTTGTCATTACATGTACGACAACTTCATGGTTATGAGAAAAAATTAGAATGAAGCAAAATGCATCCCTGACAAATTTAATGATGTACATCCTGCAATAAATTTTATCACTGAGAAGAAGGGAAATGATAGGATATCACTCCTAGAGGTCTTCATGACTAGAAAAGAGAACGATAGTACAATAAAAGTGAGCATATATATATATACAAAGTCTACATCAACTGGTCTGACAACCGCTTATCCAGTTTTCGATTCGTAAATCAAGGATAAACTACCTTATTTCGTCACTTCTAGGTGTACCGGCTAGTTTGCAGATTCCATGCAGCTAGTTACATTGGCAGTACAACTAAGCGTTTTTATTATCGGATTTCTAGACCTCATCCTGCATGGTTAAACAAGAGACAAACAAAGAATGTTTATCCACAGATCTTTTTTAGCACAACTTGTAGATATTGAACAGAAAATCGATGTTAACAAGGCATTTAAAATCATCTGTTATCGCATTCCGACTGACTTATGAGCTTATTATTTACACATACCAAAGATACACGTACATACGTACACATACACGTATACGCCAAGATTGTATGGCCTACCTAAATTGCATAAACCATGGATACCCTTCAGACCAATACTTGATATGCAAAATTCGTTCAACCATACTGTAGCTAGATGGTTTGTAAATATTCTCAAACCTTTGCATGAGAAGATAGTGAAATATAGCATCAAAGATGTATTTGAATTCGTAGACAAATTCAAAGATATTAATATCAAGGACAAAGCCATGATATCTCTGGACATAACATGATTATTCACAAATATACCTCTAATAGAAACAGTGAACTACATATGTGAACCAGTGGATAACTAGTCGATAAACATTGGCATCCGTACTGAAGTGCTAAAAGAATTATTATTAAGATGCACCATGAATGTAAACTTGAAATTTGACGGCACGCTTTACAAGCAAGTAGACGGCGTGGAGATGGGCTCTCCACTGGGTCCAATTCTGACTGATTTCTTTCCAATTAAGCTAGAAAATAGACTCCTGAACAACCTTATCAGTAAGCTCTCATTTTATTGCCGATATATGGATGATACTTTCATTCTTTGGGATAATGGTTCTGATAGAAGTATAATAATTACTGAATTCAATGAAGTACATTCGGCTATGAAATTCACATGCGAAGATGAATCCCAAGACAGCATTGCCTTCTTGGATGTCCTCCTTACAGGAAAACCAGATGGTAGCATCAAAAATTTGCATAGAAAAAGTACTTGGACACGACAATATACACATTTTCACATCTTCATTCCTATCAAGTACAAAAGAAATTTAGTGAAGACCCTCAGCCACACGGTTAGTTAGAGTTATATGCTCAGAAGAAGTAAATGAAGATGAATTAAGCATTTTATATGATACTTTGATAAAAAATGGCTATCCCGACAAATTTATCAAGAAAGAAATGACAAAGAAAGCTGCAAAGGACTACTCACTATCTGTAAACAAGAAGCCACTTTATATACGACTACAATTCAAAATCGATATACCAAGTGAGATAATTACGAGGAAATTAAGAAAATCAGTTCAAAGAACTTTTAATTCTGGCGAACTACACGTCGTATTCTCTACATGACCTATGGTGCTAACTTGACTGAAAGATAAAGCACCTAGACTAGACTAGCAACTTCTAATTGTATCTACCAATTCAACTGCTCTCCTTTGGTGGAGCGAGTTATATTGGCCGTTGCTCTAGGAACTTGATTTTTCGTGTTCGCTCGAGAACATCTCCTAGTATGGGTAAGTAAAGGTGTAGTGAAAACCATCGTCAGTTCGATATTGGACCACCTGGTGCAAACCGGCCACAAAGCCAGCTTGTATTGAAGAATCATTTTCTATAATTTACCGGGTGCCTAATAAATTGCCAAAATCATCATCGAAGCACCGGATACCTCAAACAACAGGGGCTATTGAAATTCGCTTAAAACAACCAGTGCTCTGTGTTCAAAAGAAGCAAGTCCAACCAGGCACCAATTCTACCCTGGCTGGCCTCCAGTAGAGATGATAAATTCATGAATTTGTAATATTATCTTTCCTAATCTGCCTTTCTGACATTCAGCCTATTTTATGTTAATGCAATTCAGCTGTAATCTATCAATATTATTGATTTGATGTTATGTTAACAGCCACAATAATGTTGTTCATAACACTAATTCATTCACTCACTATAATGTTTATATAACTGTAGCAGCTGATGAAGAAGGAGTTATCGAAAGGAGTATTCTTTGTTCAGTATCCATACTTGAAGTTGTTGTAATAAACCTTAAGAAGCTCAGCTTATGTATTCAGAAGTAGGCTGTTCACACACTTCCCCTACCTTGGCTAACTATCATTGTTTTAACTAACCCTAATTGATGAGGAAATTATCAAAAAGAATATACATTTAAATTCCTCGCCTGTCTCTCTCTTTCTTTTTGTCACTTTAAATTGCTCATTAATGGGAAAAACGAACCCAAACAGAAAAAAAAGAATAAATCCCCTAGCTTGTTTGCATACAGAGACTGTCAAAAAAATGAAATCGAATACATTGAATGACCGGATACATCATTTTCCCGCGATAATAAAAATAACTTTCCCAAACTAACCAATCAAATTTCACCAAAAGTTATTGATTATTTAAGGTCATAGCAAAATAGCTAACCAATCATAATGACCAGGCAAAGGAATGTAGTTTATCCATCCCTCTCCCAAAAATAGGTGATACTGTAGATACGTATTTTTTTTGTATTAAAAGACATTTTGGCCAAGCATCCAGGCAGGCAGGCAACCAGCTAGCCAGCTAGTCAGATCACGTGAAATTTATACCTATTTCATTTGGTGAACTTATATAAACATACTGGGAATAAAAATTACTATTATCATTACATGAGAAAAATGAATTTCATTCATGGTTGGTGGATGTATATTTTATTGATTTTATGCGCAAGTTTTGTTCAATCTTCAAGGCCTTTAACACCATATCAAAGAAGTAAGTAAAAAGCACTGAAGATTTGTTTGATGTATATATATATATATATATATATATATATATATATATATATATATATATATATGGATTAATCAGGATGTATGTATTTATTTTCCCATCCCACTGGAGTCCCGTCGACGACCTACTTGCTGCGTGTGGTGTCACGCAACGGTCTCCTCAACGTTTGCCTAATCCATCTCCATTTGCTTCAGAATAAGTTCTAGGTTAGTCTGTTAACTGGCTGAGTTTCTTGGTGCCAATCTTCTCTGGCCAACTGACCATCGAATCTTTAGTATCGAGCTAGCGAAATCAACTGCTGCTAAAGGTTCGTGCCCTACTCATCAATACTCTGAACTATACTGCTGTCACACTTTGGTAATATATGCATACTGATATACTTATTTTGGTTTAGACACTTGTCACGTTACCGAAAGCATTTCCAAAAGGCCACTGCACACCTTCATCGACAAGTGCCTTTGCTGGCTGCATGCTGAAGATCACATAGCGTACCGGAAAGAATAAACACCTTTGAACTCTAGTAACTGACTAACTAAAACCCTATCGACCAGCAAATATGCAGAAGAAAATACAAAGATGAATTATAGACAGACTGAGGAAACCCCTTGAGGGAAGTCCCACATCAGCCAGGCTATAGCTCAAATGGAACCCGAAGGGTAAACAAAAATTTGGGCGTTTGTCTGAAGGTGACACGGAGGAAATCATGTTAGGAAGTGATTAAAACTTATGAGAAATCACCTGACCAGATAAAGATTACTGCTGAAAACAAGACGAAATGTAGATTTTTATTTGAAGCCTGCTTTATCCGATGTATTCAAGAACAAGACACGTAGTTCTTTCATAGGTTTACATTGTATTTTGGTGTGAGTGCGGTAAGTTTCTTAGAAGTTCGATGTTATTCTAAGTGATACTGAACTATATGACAGTTAGATATAGGTAATATTTGCTAATTACATCATATTCCGGCAATTTGCAATTTACATACAGTTTGAGGTGACATCTTATCACAGTTTCTGCTGTTGCCAACTGGTAAAGAAAGCATGTTTACATGTAACTACATACTACTGATTGGTAGTCATTAGTAGTAGTAGTGTGAAATAGCTGCATCAAAAGGACATAAATATCATATGGCTTTTTCACAAGTTCAGGGTCAAGCATATTACCCCCTGCCTATGAAATAATCATGAAGATTTATAGCTCAATTGGATGTTCTCTGAGGATTTGGGTGATGGTTTAATCACAAAGCTTTCATTGTCAGCCTTTAAGACAACACCTTCAGTGCATACTTTAATTTGAAATGAAGTGAACTTTTAGATTTCTCCAAGAGTTTATTAGTCATCTCTCCTTCAAACTGAAGATGCTGCCTAGTAAGACAATAATGAAAGCTTCGAAAATGAACCATCCAGTCAGATCAGAGAACACAATTATATCAAAATCGTCCACCTTAGCTACAAATCTTCTCCATCATAACAAAATAAATTGCATAAATTACACTGAACACCACACCGGCCACAGTGACCATTCCCTACGAATCTGCATCCCACAACATAAATTAGCTGTTAAAATGCATGTGCGTCAGTGACACAGTGGTTAGGACTCTCACCGACCGTGCATATGGTACAGGGTTCGAGCCCACGCCGATGCAGACCTTATATCTATGATCGGCCTGCGAAATTCGGGCTACCGATATCACATGCTGAAAATTCCATAGTTGTACAAAAAATACGGTGTGGAATCAAGCTATCATCAAAAAAAATTTCAATAAGTCCACTTCATAGTGGAACCTGTGCTGAAGATGTTGTCTAGATGGAGGATAACGAAAGTTTCACGATCCAATTAACCAGGCCCTCAGAGAACACAACAAAATCAGAACATCTGACTAACCTTCAACTATTTCCAATATATAATCTCAACTATCACCCTTTGTTTGTTTAATTCAGCATATGAAGTAATTGAAAACTTGTCGTTCATATTGATTTCGTGCCTTGCAATGATTGACTCTGGATTTCTATTCAGACTGAGTATATGTATATCAGTTTCCTGTGTAACTTAAAAACCACTATTTAGGAACATGTTTCTTTTGGGCGATATTGGAACATTCTATTTGTTCTCGGTTTCCTAGATATTTCATTGACTAGATGGGACAATGAAATAATAAAGCGATCAAGATTTAGCCCTCAGACATCCAGTGGACAATATCTTCATTTCAACAGTTTTGTTCTTGTCCAGCACAAACGTTCCTTAATGAAATTCTGCTTTTTGGCTTGATACTTAATTGTGATTACAAACATAAATGGAAGAATGCGGTTTAATAAGTGTCTTATATTATTAATAGAGTGCTTGACTCGTGACTCGTCCCTAACTGTAACTCTTCATCTGCACGCACCCAAGACCCGACCTACTAGAAGTTGAACCCAACATGCTTAGATTAAGAGGTGAACATTAAGCCAGTCGGACAGAATCAAATGGCCAGCCCATCAATTCTAACTGCCTCCTCGCTGGACATGCCTTCTCCCACATGAGAACTTCGGACATGTTGAACACGTTGACATTTTCGCTCCCTGTACAGATGCTTCGATAATATCTGAAGATTAATATGATGTTACTATTGTAGGGATGGTAGCTAGCAGTGGAATTAAGAACACACGCACATTTCGTCCTATTTGGAACTCATCAACTGGCTGGATGTATTTACAACACTGAGACTTGCATTTAGCTAGCTTCCCATCGTTTCAAATGTTTTTAAGTGTTTGAGTTACTACAGATTTTGAAGCATCACACACCAGTGGTAGCAGTAATGATGACACCAAAGCTTGGGATGGAGGGTTATCAAAACACACAAAATATCGAAATTCTTATCTTGAGCTAAATCATATGTCTTTCCCGTTGTTCAGAAATTTATTAGTGTGAAAGATACTATAATCTCGGTTGTTAGATCATTGGAAACCAAGAAGATCTGAACAGCTGTCTCATCTTTGTTGAGAACTTTTCAGCAGTACTCGAATGGAGAAACTAATGAGAGGACCTATTGTACATTCAGCCATTAGATGGCATCATAAGTCTGACATATGTTTAGCCACCGCCAGTTAATGTCATCGGCGATAACCTGTTCCTACACTCGACCTTGTGGATCTAACCGATGACGTCGGCTTAAACTAAACCTCTAGGCACCTACATCCTGTAGTCAGTCACTAGCTCATCATCAGAGTATTTGACTGGTTCCAAGTTTACTCGTAGATTGTTACCAACAGAAGATTGCTGAATTCAATCGGTGGTTGGCGGCGAGGAGGGCGTGGTGTAGGTGATAACTACTGAATGATTCCAATCTAGGACGAAACATCTGTCCGGTAATGTTCGAAGTCAGACTTTTACAATACTAATTGTAATGTGTTGGTTTACAGGGATTTGATTGGTTACAGGATTTCATCATGAGTTGATATTAGTTAAAGAACCATTAGAAAACCTCGGACTACTGGACAACCGTTTTCGTCCTAGTTTGGGACTGTTTTCAGCAATGCACACCCACAGGGGTTAGAATTCATGAGCCATTGTATCGGATCCGAGTGGCTTAATGGTATACGAGCTTGCCTTGTAACCAGAAGGTCTTGGGTTCGAACCCCTGTGGTGGGTGCGTACTGATGAAGAGTCCGAAAGTCGGCTGACGAAACAGCTGTCTAGTACTCCTTGCAGGTTTTACAATAGTTCTCTAACCAGTGTCAGCTCATGATGAAATCCTGGAACTAATTGCAACAGTTGAATCCGATGTGCTATTCAGGAAACCGATCTTTACGTTCTACTGTTTAACCAATCAAAAACTGCTCAAGTTATTTACGATGACAAAATGCCTCAACAACAGCAAAATGACAGTTATTTACAACAAATCTGCAGTACTCTTGAACAATCATTAAAACTAAAAATTACCTCATCAGTGCCGTTAGGCGGCTGTACAGATTCGATAGTTTCTTGAGTACAAAACAAGTACTGTACGACAATATCAGTTAACCAAGAATCAATCATATGAAGTACCCCCGAATCAACTCGAATATTACCAGTAATTATTGTAATTAAGTCTTTTAGGAGCGATTTTCCAGACAATTCCAAACAATTCCTTTACCCTAATAAGGCGGCGTTAAGTCTATCATCATGGGACCTAAGTCTGATCATGGAATCATATCAATAAGGGAAGAACCACTAATAACCACTAGACACTATTAGATCCAGCTACTTCATTTAAGTTTGAGACTTTTCAGCAGGATATATACCCAGAACCCCGATCAGAAGTAGGACCCATGACCTTGGGGTTGCAACGAGGCCAAGCTAGTTGATCATTCACTCACTTCCGCCTCGGAATTCAACAACCCATATAAATTCTAATTCCTCTTAGCAAGCAGTTTTAGCATGACCTAGATGCCTCCACTTTCATCCCCGGTGGTTGGAGTGCCTCTGAAGAAATGTTAGCTGGGATGAAACCCAGTCAATTCCAACTGCATTTTGATATAAGTATAAAACTGCGGCACTGTAGTGGTAGAGTATAACTCCATTATGGATAGGATTTTATTTTGATAAATCACACAGTGTGTTATACAGTAAGTAATATTTACTGATGACCACGTTTTGAGCACAAACTATTGCCACTCATAATCATATCAAATCACTCACACAACTCTTTTCCTTCATTTATATACATGTGTGGAATTGATGATTAGACATTTGAATAAAAATCAATATGCGATAATTTACATTCAGAAATACTAATAATACGAGTGTTATTAATCAATTACAATCAGGTGGGAAATAAGACGAGTGTTTTGATAGTTAAAATAAGTCACTTGTTAGAATGAATTGTAATAGAATTTTGAGATTATTTATTATCCTCTTCTGATTTGACTGACTGGCAGTAATAATTTCTTCCATATCTGTGGTATTTGCATTGAGTGAGTCATTTCTGTTGCCTGTGTTGAGTGTGTAGACTCAATGAACTAAGATTCTGTAATCAACCTCTCTCTCCACTTACATAGATTACTTCTTAGAATTTTAACTTTCTCCCACCCTATTGTGTGATTGTGTTAATGCGTGAAGTGCAATTGCTAGGCATTTTTCTAAATTACTTATCTGCTCGGAGTCAACCATTCTTCCCTTACCTAAATTCTTATGTTCTAATAATCTGACTATCCCTGATCTACTTGTCTGACCTATGTAGTTGACCTCACAGTGATTGCAGGGTATTTTGTAAATTATATTATTTTCTTTAATTGTGTCAACAGGGTCCTTTAACCTACAGAGCTTGTCCTCACTGAGTGAGTTTGTAGGTTTAAATGCCACCCACCAGCTGCATTTAACAATTCACCTGTATTTGTGGCAGCAAGTACATAGGAAAGACTGAGAGAAGAGTGTCTACTAGATTCTCTGAGCATATCCGTAAAAGCCTCCGCTTAAAAGACAACAATATGTTCTTAAAAGTAATCGCCAGACACCTAATTAACAAGGGACATACAGTAGTGGAAATTAGTCACGCTTTCTAAATAATCACTACACAAATAAAAGCATTGTTACTTCGGTTCACAGAAGCCATTTCCATCAAAAAACTTCGACCCAAGGTTTGCATACAGAAAGAGAATGTAACTAATCTTTCACTAGCCTACCTGGTAACCATAATTACTTTTTCCCGTGTGCTTTTGTTTTATGTTTTGTTGCATAACATTCCACTGAAATGAACTCACTATTATGGTTCCAAATCTACTAAATTAAATTATTTATTTATTTTTTTTATTTTACTTCACTATTGACTCCCATCCCGCTGAACTCTCCATCATATTATTATTATTGCTCCCTTGGGTTCCTAGTGGAACATAGGGCTTCAACTGCACGTCTC